ATATTTTAAGGAGGTTGATTCTCATTGACCCTATACTTTAAGGAGGTTGATTCTCATTGACCCTATACTTTAAGGAGGTTGATTCTCATTAACCCTGTACTTTAAGGAGGTTGATTCACATTGACCCTGTACTTTAAGGTTGATTCTCATTGACCCTATATTTTAAGGAGGTTGATTCTCATTGACCCTATACTTTAAGGAGGTTGATTCTCATTGACCCTGTACTTTAAGGAGGTTGATTCTCATTGACCCTGTACTTTAAGGAGGTTGATTCACATTGACCCTATACTTTAACATTGATTCACATTGACCCTATATTTTAAGGAGGTTGATTCTCATTGACCCTATATTTTAAGGAGGTTGATTCTCATTGACCCTATACTTTAAGGAGGTTGATTCTCATTGACCCTGTACTTTAAGGAGGTTGATTCACATTGACCCTATACTTTAACATTGATTCTCATTGACCCTGTGCTTTAAGGTTGATTCTCATTGACCCTATACTTTAAGGAGGTTGATTCTCATTAACCCTATACTTTAACGTTGATTCTCATTGACCCTATACTTTAAGGAGGTTGATTCTCATTGACCCTATACTTTAAGGAGGTTGAGTCTAGTTGACCCTATACTTTAAGGAGGTTGATTCTCATTGACCCTATACTTTAAGGAGGTTGATTCTCATTGACCCTATACTTTAAGGAGGTTGATTCTCATTGACCCTATACTTTAAGGAGGTTGATTCTCATTGACCCTATACTTTAAGGAGGTTGATTCTCATAGAGCATCAAATTATTACTTCAACTCACACTGACATACTAAACAGATTTCCTTTTTTTAATTTTAAGAAATTCTTTGGCTGAATGTTCATTTTTACTGTTTCTTTACTTTATAAATGTATGACTCTGCAATCTTGCTTGCTGAATATTTTGTATATCGTGATCATATACCTGTATAGATGTAATGAAAAACATGGCTATTTTTGTGTTTTTAACAGATCAAAGTAAAATTTTAATGTTTTCAAGCCTGGAACATCTTCCTAAATCAGGAACAGCCTCAAAGGAAATCTGCAGATATGTTCTTAAGGCTCAAACATGTTTTATCTGTTATCACAACTTCAGGCTAAGAAAGAGTAAGGAAAGAATAACCTTTTTATGGAACTGGGTCTTCGCTTGTAAGTCCTGATACCTGTATCCCTTCAGGCAAACAACTTGAACAAATCATTCCCAGGTCAATGTAACATTTGACAACTTCCTATACATGAATAACAATTAAAGATAAGTTATGTAACAGTCAATACAGCTTTAAACCTACAAGCATACAAATAGTTTTTAATTCTCCAAGTTATGCCAATGACATGTCCTCCAGCTATACAACTGGTGTCAGTTCAATATTCTATACAGGTATTCCCACTAATTTTTACCAAGATTTCCTCATTAGAAAGACATTGTACAAATCAAATGTCTGTTATATCTTCCTTTACAAGAATTTAACACTTAATGAAAAAAATTCAAAATTCTAACTCTAATAAACAAAATCATTAGTTAACTTAATAAAGAATAACAAAAAATTCATTGTTATCACCATATCAGTCGCATAAGCTCTGAGATTGGCTCAGAAATATGTCTAAGATTTTTTAGGCATGTCCAAAACATGATTTCTCATTTCAACAGAGATTAATGAGTTCTGGAAATTTAGGTGAGTCCCACAGGAGGAGCATGAGTTCAAGACTCAAATATCAGAGTCTGAAGGTCACTCTTGACTCCTACAGGGTTTGTGTAAATGTATACCACATGGACATCATTTACCAAGAATCTGTATCATGTAATCATCTAAATACTGTCCTCAAACATTCTCGTGAGATTACATTTTAAAAGGATCCTTTCAATAACAGCTTAATATGAATCTGAATAAGACATTTGTATATGTGTTGTGTTGACAGTTGACTCTGTGGCTGGGGTTACCGGAGATGGTCCTATACATGTGAACCACAGCTGTGGAGACAGTCTATGGAGTGTTATCTTTAATGTCCACTGCCATCTCCCGATTCACAGTAACCAACTTAGGTCAGGAAACTATACCTTACTAATCCACCCAGCCAAGGAATGGATTTCAATTTTCACATTCTTTAAATTATAAGACTCCTTTACATAAGATATCCTCTCTATTTGTTTAATGGGTTTTACATCCACTTTTATGGCTTCTGGTCTCTAAGCTGACAGGATATCCACACCATCTAATAATTAATTCAGGTATTTATACATGAGCTACTACCAGCAAAGCAGTATGTTCAATTAACAGGGGGGGGGAATAATCATTACTCTTATTCATTGTTATTTCCTTTACTTTTCAATTAATTTTGACACTTGAATTAGTAATTAACTTATCACTTCCTGCTCAGCATAGTTGAAGATACAGAAACACATGCTGTCACCATAGATTTTAAAGAGTTTGAAAAGATTTGTCATCCATGAACACGAGTCATTTGAAAAGAGGATAGCTTACCTATTGATGACATGTAAATACTAATTTACTTCTGTTAGATAAATTGAAAAATATGGTTCAGCTTATATAGCTAATAAACCTTTACCAGATGACTTGCTCCCAAAATTCACAAACAGAAATTTACTCCTTTTGGCCACCAGAAATATAAAATAATATGGTCATGTATATGAACTGATAATGGTTCAGATTTGCTTGAGCTAGTTCAGAACATAAGGTCAGATAACATCAACGTCAAAGCTAAGGTTGGGGTGACTACATTATATTAGAGCCCCTTTTCCCCTTCATTTTTCAAATAGGTAAAGTTTTTGGCTGTACTATGCACCAAGGTATGCTAATCTGGAACAAAATGGTGACAAGATTGTAATGAAAACAGGTCTAGCTAGGGATCTTCCATACATATATTTAGTACTATCCTAGTTTATTACAGTTATTACAGTTAATTGGGCTAAACCTGGTCATTGAAGTGTGAGAGCACAACACTGACCTTCCATAATATATCATTAAATGAAATTTTTTTAAAGAAGTTAAAGAAAAAACATTCTTTTCATGTAAAAAGTCAACTGAAGGAAGCTATCTGAATACACAATAATTAGCCAGTTCTAAACAGAGACTAAGGGACCCATATACTCTAACAATATATATAGCAATAGGAAAAACATGAATTGCAAATTTGCAACATTAGAGATTTGTTCTCAGTGTGACAGTAAATTTGCAAGAGAACCTGTGAGAGTATAGTTTGAGACTCCATTCCACAGCTTTACCTTGCAGTTCACGAAACACATTACACCTTAATTCACTCAGCAGTCATAAAATAATTAAATTAAGCTAGAGTTATACCAAAACTGAAACTGTTTCTAAAGAAATTAAATGAACATATATTGTTTACATTCCTAAATATGGCATAATGCTATTTCAGTGTTCAAACTCCATTCCTTATGTCCAGTTTGACTACTCAAATTTACAACAAAAACCCTTTTAAATATATAGGACCGATCATAATCACAAAACCATTTTCAAAATGAGGTAATCATGTTTGTAAATGATGGCAGAAGCTGTAAACACAACCTTTTTGCGAAATATTCTTGTAAAGAATGTGTTACTTTGTTAGTTATAGTTTTAAATAGCATATACATAACCTAAAAGATTTGTTATTTAACCATTACAATTTTTCCCTGTCCCCTCTAAAATTGCCCCAAAGTATTGGTCACAACAAAATTGTACAAGCTGTATAACCAGCAATAGAAGAATTCTCCACTATCACATTAATTATTATACAAGTGATAATGATTAAAGTATTCACATATTATCCTTCACATGTATATAAAATGGATTAAAACAAAAGTTATAAAAAATCTGTTCTTTACAACTGACAATTACTTGTCAACTTCGCTTTGTAAGAATACAGACACTTTCCTAATTGCTGTATTTTCTGTTTAAAGATCTTTCCAACTACCATAGAGGTTGCTTCCAATCCTAATCCTTGGATTATCATGTAAATGAAAATTTCTCTCTGCATCATTGTGACTCTACTCTATGTAGCTAACAAGTGCAGTGACTTATTTTGTATACAATAACAGGCTCTTCAACATATACACAGCCAGTTCCTTCTAATATTGCAGGATACTCATGCTATCTCAGCAGTTTCTGACCAATTTTTCCCATAAATATCATTATTATAAGAAAATGTAGCTCATCAAACTCAGATGCAGAATTTGATGAAAAAGAAAAACAATATATTTCATCATGATTCCCTTTACTAAAAACATATACATGAATACAAGTGGCACTTGTACCCAAGCTGGCTCTAAATTTAGATTAAGGAAGTAAAATACGTCATTTTTAATTGGAATGTGACATTAACTTTCTTGGATTGGCCAAGAGTAATGGAGTGGGTGTTGTCAATGAAGTAGAATTAGACACTTACACTTGTATAACATCCTGTCTTATTCTCCTTGTACTTTTTTCGAGTCTCCATGTAAATCTTTCTTTTTTCCTACTTTTCCTACATCTTGTGTTTCAATTAAGATTCTATTAATATGCCAATATTTTCTTATTTTTCATTATTTATGATAGGCTAGATGTAGTGACAGAAGTACTAGTTGTAGTGGTGGTAGTAGCATAACTTTCAGTCATTTCATATGTTTTATGCTCTTCTCTTCTGGTCTGAATGCTTCTACCATACAAGTCATAGGCAACGTGTCAATTTAATTGAAAGGGTACGCAGTTCCGAGAATAACCACTGACCTCCTCACGCACTGTACTCGAGTATGTCATCTCATGTACTGTCATACCTATAGTATATATGTTTTACAATGTAGCATTTAGCTGTCAACAGGTCAATAGTAGGGTTCGATTGTTGACCTGTGAGGCTGAGTTACAAGTGTGTATACGTAATAGAACCCTGGCGTATCTGATATGGATAAGTAGGTACTCTGCTTTGTACAACCGTTTTCGATATTAGAACAAATGCATCATTCTAGTTTAACATTAATACATACTTACGTCAACAGCAAGGCTCAATATTCCTATTCAAACTCCTTTTTGGCTGTTTCCATATGGGTTTCACGCATCGACAGTCATCGTGACATTTACCTCTTCGGTACGTAAACACTGAACTCTTCGGTAAAGAAGTTAAAGTTTGGTGCCAACCGAATATTTAGTTTCGTATAAGCTCGGAATCTTTCATACATTTTCAGGAAATGAAGTTAGATTATATTGTTAAATAAGAAAACGAATTCTATATAGAATTATAGTATAAAATACTGAACAAATATAAATACTTTATAAACATTCGAATTACAGAAAAAGGCTAGCTTTGCATGTCATCTCATGACTTCCGGGAGAAAAACTGCATCAGTAACGTTACAAATGTTTCAAGATGTTTTTCAATGCAGATGATGATGAACAAGACTTTCTGTCGTCATCAGGAGGGTTAGTTTGCTTGCATTCGTCTTTCTTTTTCAAATCACCGTAGCTTTCAAGGAAGTTAACAACACTCAGGATAAATGGTGCAAATCACTGAATAAGGGGGTGTGGTATTTTGGATCCCATGATCATTATTCTGTGATACACATAATTCTGTTGGACATGCGATTACTTAAATGTTAAAATATCACTCGTTTTTCCATAATATGAACTTAATCTAAATTATTTTGATTGTTGCACAGCTTTTGATGAATGTGTACAACAGATTATGCCGGGTTATTTATAAAATTAACTTTATTATTTACCTGTACACCAATATCAGAAAATTCGTTGGCGTTCTTAAACACCCTCGGAAATCCAAGGATGTTCTCACTCTGTATAAAACTTCCGGAATCGGACGTTCTATATGTGAAATATATTTATTAATTGCAGTAACCGCGTATACAAAATGTTTACTGCTATTTTAGTAGTATAACTACATTTCACATACAGAATGCCTTATTTCTACTATGAAGTGTGGAACATAATTTATGTAGGCAATATGGGCTTAGAAGACGTCCTTGATATTAACATTATTAAATATTATAACTTTGGTGTCTTTAGAGTAGGTTTGACAAAAAATATATGAAGATAAAATAGGTTCCGAAAAGGAATGAATGGATGCAGGCATTTTTACCATTCCTCTTGCACATAGTATATAAGTTTACTTATTAATCTGTAAAAGTTATCTGTTGGATGACTGATTTACTACTTGCTAAATAATTGAATTTATCCCCTGAATTTTTAAATAATAATTGATTTATCAACAACATTTTATCCTCTTCACTGTTTTGAAATAACACTTGAGTTGAAAAATGACAACTTTCAACAATACATTTTCCCCCATGAATATTATATGTTAATTGACAGGTATGAATGAAGAATCTGTATTGTAAACAATTTGATTTATACAGGTCAAAGCTGGCATCTCTGTTTGGTGTGGACAAAGCTAGTAATCAAGGTGGAAATGAATCATTGAAATACACCGCTCCAAAACAACCCAGGAAAAAGGGTAATTATATATGACATTTATTGTTGTATTGGTTTTGTAACCAAATAGTTTATGTTTTCCTGTCTTTTTGGAATTTAGCCTCTTTTATGTGTTCTTTATACTTAGTTGTGCAAGCTTCATTTTGAGCCTGGTAAGAGATGAATGGCGGTTAGAAGTCATTTTAGTGTTTTTAAGAATTTGACATTAAACATTTGTTATTTTTATTTCTCAAAAAAAAAAACAATCTTTAGTTCATGAAATGAAAAGATAATTTTATATGGAAATTTTGAAGTTCTTAGCACTATTTATCAGTAAACTTAAAGTAAATGCTGTCAGATAAATGATGTTAATATGTTAAATAAAGGTGACACAGGACATCCTTTGTGGTAAAAATATGTGCAACCTAAAAGAAACAAAATCCATAAAGATAGGACTCCTGTGATAAAACCATACATTCCTTCCTCTCCATTTCAAGATTGGATGATCAATAATTGTGGAAATATATATCTTAGGATATCAGAATGGAGTGATTTTTTTCTTTGCTATATTTGTGGATCTTGGATTGATCCTTGTTTTTACAACATTTTAACTCTGACTTGACAACTAAGGTAGCGTTTCATATACATGTTTCAGAAGCTCCGAATCAGTCAGGTGGTGCTCCAGCTGCCGTCACCTTCGCCACAGCAGTTCATGCATACAAATAGTCAGTATGTTATATCAGATATAACTATTATACAAATACACTGTAGTTAGTTAATGTAAATCTAGGTAGTTCAAACACAGTGACTTTGAAGAGCTGTCATTAGATACTTCATTTATAGGTACATACATGTATTTATTCCAATTCTCCAGTCTTCTAAAGTACTGAAACAGAAATGGAGACAAAGTATACAATTATAGATAAATCCAAACAGCATTGCCTTGATTTGTCATGTGTAGAGTCGCCAACTTATCTGATTTCTTCAGATCAGCCTGATGTTGGTTATATCATGACCTGCTCAAAGAGTAGTTGGGTGACGCAGTGGTAATGCACTCCCCCTGCACTCCCCTTTCACTTAGACATCCAGGGTTTGATTTCCAGAATGGATGTGAAAAAGTATGGGGTCACCTGCCCAACCATATGGGTTTTCCCTAGGTCCTCCAATTCCCTCCCACAGTAAAACCCCCTGTGCTATTTCTTGAGAAGAACTGAATGGATCTTTCTCAAATTTCATATGTAGATTTCCCTTGGTCTCTTGTTGTGCCCATGTAGTTTTGGAACTGATCAGAAAAGCAAAATGGCCGAAAGGTGGCCATCTTTGATTTTGACCTTTCAAGTGTGTTATCGTTATTTCTTCAGAGGTATTGGATTGACCTCTCTCAAATTTCATATGTAAGTTCCCCTTTGTCCTTAATTGTGCCCATTTAATTTGGTCTGATCAGAAAAGTGAAATGGCGGAAAGGTGGCCATCTTGGATTTTGACTTTGAAAGTTTGTTATCACTATTTCTTGATAACTACTGTATAGATCTTCCTCCAATTTCATGTATAGGGTTCTTTAGGTCCAACAGGAAGCCATCTTAGGTTTTGCCTAGTAGAAATTGTTATTGCTATTTCTGAAGAAGTCCTGTATGGATATCTCTCAAATTCCATACAAATGTTCCCTTTGATCTCTCCTTGTGCTTGTATGCTTTTGGGACTGATCAGAAGGAACAAAATGGCTTTCAGGTTTTTTATTTGGCAGGTAAAGATTATCATTTATTTCTGCAAAGAGCAAAAAAAGAGAAGAGAAAAGATCCAACTTTCAAAGAGCAAATAAAGATCAAACAATGGTGGATGCCAAGATCCCTCTAGGATCTCTTGTTTATCTTATAGAGTCAAATAATGTTCAGACATAACATTGAACATCAGTTAAATGTGATAATTGTACAACAGAATGTGTTTTAAGGCATTTGTTTTACGTGATGACCCTTTAAAACACCCTGTCACCCTGATTTTAAAGGCTATGACCAGATGCAATTTGACTTGAGGACCAAGGTTAGTCGTAATAATAATCGTAATTGCTGTAAGGTACTATCAGGAAAATATAATGAATCTGAGAACATTTCAAAGTCTACTGCAGATATATGTTGTTTCTATGTGCTATTCTGTATATTGTATGTTTTAATTTTCACAGTGTTGATGGTCAGTATGCCAGTCAGGGAAAACTTGGTGCTGCAATTCTGGGCAGTCCTGCCTCACAAGATGTAAGTGACTTGGTTTGATTTGAACAAGAAAGAAAACGAAATTTCAGGGGGAAAGTTCAGTATCAAAGTTTCTTACAGTTTGGAAATTTGAACATCTAGTGCAGTGTAATGTTTTTATGATTTTAAAATAGAAATATTATATACAAAAAATCCATATTTTATCTGAACTTTTGTTGTATTTCTGTGAAAAAATGGGTGAAGGCTAACTCTTGTATGGTGCAAACCACTATTGTCGAGTACCTTCATGAAATACAGACTGACTTTTGTGTTGTCCAAACCACTGAGGATATGGTAAAGGATTGTGTTGTCCTTTTAGTACAGAACACATGGCCTTGTTTTTGTGTATTACAGAATCTTGTTATGTTAACCAAAAACACATGATCTCCATTACTTTTTTCGTTACAGTACAGAATTTTGTTGTATGTCAGTAAACAACAACAGGTGACCAACGTGAGAATTACACCAGCTTTTGTCTTCACGGTTTGTATTCTGACTTCATCATTGTCACATTATGTCATTGATGTGTATACGCATGAAAGATATTTTAGTTTTATGCAACTTTAAAGCTGTCATGGATTTAATTCATTTTTCCACTTTCTTTACAAAAAATAGATTTTGTCAGTCCATCTGTTTTCTCATATCTAGAGATGCAATTTTATCTCTTATACACATCCAAATGTAGCACTTAAATTTTAATGTTTTCCTTTTTTTACCCAGTCAATCTCATTTTTTTTTTAATTTTAAGATAAATTGGTGAATTCTAGAATTGACAGGAAACATTTATATCAGTTTGAGTAATTTATTAGTTTGATATGTTACACTGTTCATGTATTAACAGAGTGTAAATGTACGTTACTCCATCATCTACAGATTCAAGCCAACAACTATGCCAGTTTTTATGATGATGCCAGACAGAGCTGGTCTCTCATGTTTGACAATGAACAGAATTCAGAGAAGTTTGCTAAACAGGTATGTTTAACGTTCAGTTTTTTCTTTAAAAAATACTTGTTTTATTACCATATTTTCCAGCCTAAAAACCGCACCCAAGTATAAACTGCAGGACTGGTTTTCAGTGATTTTTCTATTCGATTCACGTATAAGATACTCAGGAATATAAGCCACACCCTTTCTTACAATGTAGCAACAGTTATGTTCATTGATTTAACAACAATGGAAGCCAATTTATCAAGATTGCAAGTGAAACATTAAATATATACACAGATAATCCTTTATTTCATTGACGTGTTTCAAAAACATAAAATAGCAATTATCAAACTCATTAGGCTAGGGAGCCTTCAAAGATCGTCTACGTTCCTTTTTTGTAAGCTGCTCTGGCGTATAAGCCGCACGCGCGACCACCAAGGAAAAAAATCACAGCTTATAGTCTGGAAAATAGTGTAGTTTGTTTATTGTTGAATATTGGGAAATTAATTGCACAGGCAGATAAAAATGTATACTTATGTTGTTCTACATGGCTTAGTGTGTACCTTGTGTATATGTGAGTAGGTGGGTTTGGCCAGAGCCATCAGTACTGGGACTGCCCTGGACAGTGTTGTAACTCAGGACCTACATCTGGGTGATGGCGGACCCCTAGAAACCGGTGACCTGGTAGAGGTCAAGTATACAGGATGGTTACTTACCAATGGCACATTTGGACAGGTAACACGATTTCTTACACTTATTCTATCATATATTTACTGTCATTAGTTGATTTAGAGTCACTGGTCAACCTACAGAAATTGATTAACTTGCATTCAGTTAACTGACAGTCACATGTTAACCTACAGAAATTGATTAACTTGCATTCAGTTAACTGACAGTCACATGTTAACCAGCAGAAATTGATTAACTTGCATTCAGTTAACTGACAGTCACATGTTAACCTACAGAAATTGATTAACTTGCATTCAGTTAACTGACAGTCACATGTTAACCTACAGAAATTGATTAACTTGCATTCAGTTAACTGACTGTCACATGTTAACCTACAGAAATTGATTAACTTGCATTCAGTTAACTGACAGTCACATGTTAACCTACAGAAACTGATTAACTTGCATTCAGTTAACTAACAGTCACATGGTTAATTTGCAGTCACTAGTCAATTTACATTCATTGGTTAACTGACAGTCATTGGTTAACCTTACTGTCATTGGTTAACCTTACTGTCAATGGTTAACCTTACTGTCATTGGTTAACCTTACTGCCATTGGTTAACTTACATTCACTGGTTTAGTTACTATCATTGGTTAACTTACATTAAATGCTAATTTATTTCAAAATTGTTGCATTAAGGTAACATATCAACACTGCTAAGCAGTAGCATTGAAAATCACCAGTAGCTTATTTATAGGTCACCTGAGATAAAGTCTCATGGTGACCTATTGTGATCACATTTGTGCGGCGTTATGGGTCGTGCTGTATGCGTCCAGCATCCATAAAAAATTCAACGTTTTTCACTTCTTCTCAAAAACCCCTGAACGGATATCAATGAAATTTTGCAGAAATCTTCCCTAACCTATGATGAACCATAATTGTGAATTATACAGTCCCAAACCCACAAGGGCTGGAGCTGGGCCAAAAGGGCTTGATCTAAATTTTAAAAATGTTCTTCTCAACACCCAGATATGGTAGAATCGAATACTGTTCATGGATGGAAGCATTTTAAGGTGCTTTACGAAAATTGTGAATTTCATGGCCCCAGTATCTCACATTTCCGCATGGGAAGGGGGGTAAAATTCACTACAGTTTCTATAGGAAAATTAGATTTTTAAGCATAATTTGTTTAATTTGCATTGGAAATATTTCTAACTTGGTTAAAAATATGAGTGAAAAATGACAGCTTGATGGTATGCCCATTCTGATCTTGGCACACCTCGAGGGACTGATGGACGGGACCACAAGGGGTCAAATGACTTAAATTTAAAGAATCTTCTTCTCAACAACCAGATGTGGTAGAATCAAATGCTCTGTATGAATGTGAGCATCTTAAGATGCTTTACCAAAATGAGTCTCACATTTCTTCTTGGGGAGGAAGTTTTTTTTTAAACTTTACTGAAGTTTTCTTAGAAAAATTGAGCATAACATTGTTTATTTCCCACTGGAAATAACTTTGCCCTTCAATGTTTGCTATAATTTGTTTCAGGAGTTTGACAGCAATGTGAAAACAGACAAACAATTCAAATTTAAAATCGGCAAAGGCAAAGTGATTAAAGTACGTATCTAATCAGAAAGTATGATGATTACAGTAAATGTTAACTTTGGTAACAAATGGAGTGCTAGATAAAATGGGAGATGAAGTAAAGATGAGTTAACACTTCTCTGTATTAAGATTACCTGTCATTTCCTGGACAAGACTTTTCCTGTTCATGGTTCTTTTTATGAATTCGCATGTTTTATTCAAAGGAATAATATATATATATTTTTCTGGATAATTTATATGCAATAATATTAGTGATTGTAGTAAGATTCTCTTGTTAATTTTTTTAGAATTATTGTCTCGTTCTGTTCTGATAAACAATACAGACATAGCCTAGATTCTAACATATCTCTGTTTACAGGGTTGGGATATAGGAGTAGTTGGGATGAAGAAGGGATCAAAGCGCCTCCTGGTGGTGCCACCAAGTCTTGGTTATGGAAGTCAAGGAGCTGGCAACAAAATCCCACCAAACTCAACACTTATATTTGAGGTGTTAGTTGTGAGGGTAAGAGAAAACTACAATTTGTGTACATATTTCAGTATGGTTTAGCAAGTTACCTTAAAGTGTATCATTGATATATTCAAAAAATACATTTCAAACTTCTTTTCATTTAAAAAAAAAAAAAAAAACAATTTTCATATTCATCAGTTTGCTGTCTAAATACATGTATTTAAAAATGAGTATTTCAGTTGAATACCAGTAAATTAGTCATTTATACTACCCTATGCAGGGAAACATATACTTTCTGTGTGATACACCATCAGTTGACTTGATGTAATATAGTATGGTACAACATTTCATAGTGTTTTATGACATACAATGTGTTACTAAATTGTTCCAGGTTAAGTTATCGAAAGCTGAATCACCGAAGCCATCACCTGCCCCGACCCCAGAGCCTACGCCACTGCAGAACTCCACACCCAGCCCTGCCCCTTCTGACCCAGAGTTGGATGATTCAACAGTGAAAGGGAGGACAAAGTCTATTACGGAACAGATGACTCATCAGGTACAGAACACCAGGAAACATGGTAACACATGGAACATTACAGTACACAACACTTTAGGTAAAACAGAGGAACAGGGAACATGGTAACACATTGAACATTACAGTACACAACAGTTTAGGTAAAACAGAGGAACAGGGAACATGGTAACACATGGAACATTACAGTACACAACACTTTAGGTAAAACAGAGGAACAGGGAACATGGTAACACATGGAACATTACAGTACACAACAGTTTAGGTAAAACAGAGGAACAGGGAACATGGTAACACATGGAACATTACAGTACACAACACTTTAGGTAAAACAGAGGAACAGGGAACATGGTAACACATGGAACATTACAGTACACAACACTTTAGGTAAAACAGAGGAACAGGGAACATGGTAACACATGGAACATTACAGTACACAACAGTTTAGGTAAAACAGAGGAACAGGGAACATGGTAACACATGGAACATTACAGTACACAACAGTTTAGGTAAAACAGAGGAACAGGGAACATGGTAACACATGGAACATTACAGTACACAACACTTTAGGTAAAACAGAGGAACAGGGAACATGGTAACACATGGAACATTACAGTACACAACAGTTTAGGTCAAACAGTGGAACAGGGAATATGGTTTTATAACACAAGGATAGGATGAAAATAATAATCACTGTTACCTTTATGGGGTTGTAGACATGAGTTTATGTCCATATCAGGCCTTTATACACAATATAAATGATTGAATCACCATATGTTAGATACTGTATGTGTATTCAAATTAGCGCACTCTTATTTTGGCGCTCTTAATAAGGTTACACTTACTACAGCAAACATAAATTTGCACAAAAAACAGAATTAGCAGTAATAGACTTTATAGTTTTGCGGAATATTATATTGATTTATTATACAGGTAAAGTGACCAGTCTATCTGACTCATTAGTACTGTACTCATTCAACAGAGCAATTTTAACACTTTAATAAACACAATGAAATCAATAGTGAGAAAAAACACAATCAAATCAAGGGTGAACAGTGCTAATACAGCTATCAGAATTTTGCTGAAACCTAAGTACACTCGGTAATTATCGTCCATCTGTTGTAGGGTGGAGCCAAAGCTAATTTGATCTCACGAATGGCCAAAATGGGCAAGCCCATGCTGCCCTTACAGGGTGCTGTTGCAGCAGATCCAGAAAGTGATGAGGAGTCAGTGCCAGTAAGTCATTGCATTGTGCCTTTACCCAAAACCATGGGCGGTAAATGTTATGGGAGGACAGATCTACATTTAAAAAATCATACACTCCACTTGAAATGGCAGTTCAATAAATGTCATGCCATAAGCCCACCTTCTGATTTTGATTCAGAACCTGGATGTTGGCTCCTTCGGCTAAATTTAATTTTTTCATTCACACACAGTATTTTTATCAATAACCATAACTGTTGTTCTGTCTGTAATATATTAATCGTAAACACCTGTCATACAACATATATATTGATCTTTCTTCTAAAGGAGTCACCTAAGCCAGTGGCTGTGACAGCTGCCCCAGTAACTGCACCCACTCATGCAGCCACCAAGCCACCAGTGGTGGCCAAACCTGTGGCACAACAACCAATGGCTGCACCAGTGGATTACACACAGACTGCAGCTCCTGTCACTTCTAATCCTTTGATGCCCCAGCCATCCTTCGGTAAGTCCTGTTATCACTAGTTCAATGATTTCTCAGCCTTCCTTCAGTAAGTCCTGTTATCACTAATCCTATGATACCTCAGCCTTCCTTCAGTGAGTCCTGTTATCACTAATCCTATGATACCTCAGCCTTCCTTCAGTGAGTCCTGTTATCACTAATCCTATGATACCTCAGCCTTCCTTCAGTGAGTCCTGTTATCACTAATCCTATGATACCTCAGCCTTCCTTCAGTGAGTCCTGTTATCACTAATCCTATGATACCTCAGCCTTCCTTCAGTGAGTCCTGTTATCACTAATCCTAAGATACCTCAGCCTTCCTTCAGTGAGTCCTGTTATCACTAGTCCTATGATACCTCAGCCTTCCTTCAGTGAGTCCTGTTATCACTAGTCTTTCGATACCTCATTAAATTCATTAATAGTATCAACATGATTTGGAGTTTATGGTATTTACCATGTCCAAATATTATTTTTTTGAGCAGCTCCTCCACCAGGCCACCAAATGGCACTTTACCAGTCACCACAGGCCCTCCTTCAACAGCAACAGGCTGCTTTTCTACAGCAGCAACAGTTACAGGTAAGTTCTGAAGTCATGCATCAAAGTGTTTTTTGTGATATGTATTTTGTAATTTGACAGACAAGTTCACTTTTCCAATTTAGAAAAGGAAGATTTTTTTCAGGCAGATCACTAACATCTTGTGTAAATCTTAAATGATATTTCATCTCATATTTTTTGTATTTTCGTAGCAACAAGCGGCATTCCAGCCACCAGCATCCTCAGCCTTCCCAACTGGGACTTACCCTGCTGCACCAGCATTCCCTACAGGCCCAGCTGGTAAGTGTTGTAAAACAAATGTTTTCTCCTAGTGTAAATCTTGACGTTAGAAGTACCACAATGTATTTGATTTACACAAGAATTAATTGTCAGTTAACAATATTAACTATTTCTTTTCTTATATTTAGGGTACATATAGCTTTTACATTGAAAGAATTGAAAGATACTCTACATTCATGCTTAAGCTAAGTTAGTGCATTACATAAATAAGATTAGATAAATCATAGCGCAATACACTTTCTTAAACAGGGCATAGATAGGACATTATATGCAGATTTTAAAGACAATTGTAAGGTATACATGTACTTGTTACCTACAGCTGCTGTTAATCCAGCTGACTCAGCCACACCTGTGTTGCTATCGGAGACACGACAACAGAATACAGAACTAAGGTTGGCTGTGGGAAAGGTGACTGACAAAGTGGACACTATACTACAGAAGGTCAGAACTTAAACCTTTACAGTAGCGGTAAAGTTCCTTTCTGTTCTTAATGTTTTGAAGTAAATGTATCGTTCAGATATTAAGATCATGGTTACTGTGTTATCACATTAAGAATCACTAGAGACATGTCTTACCTTTTTGTGTTCCAGATGGATCATTTACAGACACAACAGAGTGGAGCCATGGCTCTTCAATCCTCCGCTCCAAACATGGAAGCTTCAGTACTCATGCATAATGTACAACGTATTGTACAGGTACACACTTTAGGCTAATCTTTCATTTTGTGTTTTCGTAAAAACATCAACATCACACTGACAGTGTATATAATTCACAAAATGTTCAAGATTTTACAAAATCAAAATCAGTTTCATGTCATCAAAACAGGGAAGAATGTTCATTTCTTTGTTTTACTTATTTTATACATGATAAAATGTTGATCGTTCACATGACAACATGTTAACATTTTTATCTTAATATCACTTTGTCAACACACTCTGTATAAGTATTCATGTAATGTTTAATATTTGTCATTATTTTCAGGAAAATGAAAGGTTACGAAAAGAGGGTTATGAGAAGAGTTCACGAATTGAAGCTCAAAATAACAAAATATCGGAACTTCTGCAGAGTAACCAAATGTAAGATGATGATGTATTGCATCTATGTTATTGAATACTTAAATATCATGTATTTACTTTTAAGTCAGAAATATTGGCATTTCTAGGCAATGAGATAGTAGAAAATTTTTCACCTTTTTTAGCAATATTCCTTGAGGTAGTAATATTTCACAACTGTACCAGCTAGAGTCACAGTGATAGTAACATTACACAGCTGTACGAGATAGATTCATACAGGTAGTAAAATTATACATCTCTATCAGATAGATTCATAAAGGTAGTAAAATTACACACCTGTACGAGATAGATTCATACAGGTAGTAAAATTATACATCTCTATCAGATAGATTCATACAGGTAGTAAAATTATACATCTCTATCAGATAGATTCATACAGGTAGTAAAATTATACATCTCTATCAGATAGATTCATACAGGTAGTAAAATTATACACCTGTACAAGATAGATTCATACAGGTAGTAAAATTATACATCTCTATCAGATAGATTCATACAGGTAGTAAAATTATACACCTCAACTAGATAGATTCATACAGGTAGTAAAATTATACACCTGTACAAGATAGATTCATACAGGTAGTAAAATTATACATCTCTATCAGATAGATTCATACAGGTAGTAAAATTATACACCTGTACGAGATAGATTCATACAGGTAGTAAAATTATACACCTGTACAAGATAAATTCATACAGGTAGTAAAATTATACATCTGTACGAGATAGATTCATACAGGTAGTAAAATTATACATCTGTACAAGATAAGATTCATACAGGTAGTAAAATTATACATCTGTACGAGATAGATTCATACAGGTAGTAAAATTATACATCTGTACAAGATAGATTCATACAGGTAGTAAAATCATTCACCTGTACTAGATAGATTCTTCAAGGTAGTGAAGTATTTGGGTAGTAGAATTCTTCACTACTTCCTAATAAATGAGTTTCATAGAAGTGTTTAATTCATTGATATATAACTGCATTTAATTTCTCCGATCTAAGGTTTGTGGAAAAGAGTCAGACACTGCTAGAACAGAGAAATGAAGGGTTTAAGGTGACAGCCACCACATCCCAGGCCAAGGTACTGGCACTGGAGCAGGAGAAGGTGAGAAACACATGTACAAGTTTATAGACATTACTTTAAACATGACTGTGATAAAATAAAACATAACACATGGTGACGGTCATTCCTACACTCCAATCACTGGATGGAAGAGTCACTTACCAGTACTCTATATTGTATTTGTATAAGTTTTCAAACATATAAAATTTAAACTCTGATAAAATCAGGTATATGTGCACAAATAACAACTACCAAGATGTCCTAAAATACATTTCATGTACACTTAATTCAGAATCTCTGTAGGAGATATATCTCCGTATTTTAAAATGTTTCTCAGGTTCAGCTAGCTACAGAGTTGAGTACAGCAACATCCCAACTAGGGACACTACAACTGGAGATTGCTGGGATGAGGAAGCGAGAGATGGAACTACAACAGAAGCTTGGGTCATCATCTAATGACTTCAAGAAAAACACAGAGGAGCTGGAGAATCTTCAGTTACAGCATACAGGTGGGCTTACTTAGGGCATAAATCATAACATTTATGTGAACTTAGTAAGGGCATGAATCATAACATACAGGTGGGCTTAGTTAGGGCTTACAAGTGAGCTTAGTTAAGGCATAAATCATGGCATACAGGTGGGCTTAGGGCTTACATGTGGGCTTAGTTAAGGCATAAATCATAACATACAGGTGGGCTTAGTTTGGGCTCACAAGTTGGTTTAGTTAAGGCATAAATCACAACATACAGGTGGGCTTAGTTTGGGCTCACAAGTTGGTTTAGTTAAGGGCATTAATCATTACATACATAGAGTTCAATAGTTTCAACTACTGGGCTAAATTAAGTTTGTTTTCCTTATTATCTATATTTTAACGCACCTAAAATTGGTAATTGGAATGAACTTTGATGAACAACTGACTTGAAACATTTGACCTCCAAAACTACTGAGTAGAAGAGAGACAGACTCTGTTGTAATTGTGTTATCATTGCTTTCATTGTTATACAGAGGATGAAGAACGAATTAAGAATCTAACATCTGGTCTGAGAGAGGAAAAGCAGAGAAGGAAAGAGGGTGACAATAAACTGTCACAGCTTAATGAGGAACTCTCCGATCTTAGAGTGACAGCAGAAAGTCTTCAGAAGGTAAAACGCTCAGCATTTCATCATGCTCAATATAAGATATGACTTTGATAGACAAGGATATACTTAGATAGATACTAGAAACAAGAAAAAAACAAATGTGGGTCACAGTTGATCACATAAACCAGACAGTGAAAAGAAATTTGATCAAAGAAATTTGAAAAGAATTAAAGTTGATCACAGAAACCAGCAGGGAGGGGGATTTTATCAAAGAAACCAGAGAAATACAAGAGTAGTTACAGAAACAAGAGAAAACAAAGTTGATCACAGAAACCAGAGAGAAAAGTAAAACAAAATGGTAATGGGGGTTTAAATTGATAGCTGTATTTAATACAAAATTCAGGATTTGTTACAAATGGTTATTTCATGACCCTGAACAGAATCTATCGGAGAGAAAGAAGAAAGCAGCAGAGGAGAGGAGAAAGATGGAAGAAGACATGGAGGATAGCAAACTGCAATTTGAGGTAAAATATGAAAATAATGCAACCAAAAACCAAATATTTGTATATTATCTAGAAACAAAATTACACAAACAAATGTGATAGAAAATGTGTTGTCATGGTAATACATGTATTTTTAGAAATAGGGTATTTCATATATGTTTTGTTGAGAAAGGTGTTGTTTTGTGGTAATGTATGTTACAATGGAATGTGTAAATGTATATAGATTTATCAAAAACGGGTAATACAGGATCTTATTATGTACATTGAATAAAAAAAACTGAGGTAGAGAAAATACTTTTAAAATGAAAACATAAAGATAACATTTTATTTGTTATAGCAAGAGATTGAGGGTCTGAGAGAGAAGCTAAGGCGACAGAAAAACTCTACAGATGCAGCCAAAGCAGAACAGGTGAGTGCACCACTCCTCAGTTCTCTCTGTGTGTAATCAGAAAAATAATGTAGGATCACTCCCCAGTACTGTCTGTGTGTTATCAGTAAACTTAGTGGTGGATCACTCCCAAGTACTGTCTGTGTGTTATCAGTAAACTTAGTGGTGGATCACTCCCAGTACTGTCTGTGTGTTATCAGTAAACTTTGTGGTGGATCACTGCCCAGTACTGTCTGTGTGTTATCAGTAAACTTAGTGGTGGATCACTGCCCAGTACTGTCTGTGTGTTATCAGTAAACTTAGTGGTGGATCACTCCCCAGTACTGTCTGTGTGTTATCAGTAAACTTAGTGGTGGATCACTCCCCAGTACTGTCTGTGTGTTATCAGTAAACTTAGTGGTGGATCACTCCCCAGTACTGTCTGTGTGTTATCAGTAAACTTAGTGGTGGATCACTCCCCAGTACTGTCTGTGTGTTATCAGTAAACTTAGTGGTGGATCACTCCCCAGTACTGTCTGTGTGTTATCAGTAAACTTAGTGGTGGATCACTCCCCAGTACTGTCTGTGTGTTATCAGTAAACTTAGTAGTGGTGGTGTCACTTAGTGGTGGATCACTCAGTACTGTCTGTGTGTTATCAGGAAACAGTACTGTCTGTGTGTTATCAGTAAACTTAGTGGTGTATCACTCCCCAGTACTGTGTGTTATCAGTAAACTTAGTGGTGGATCACTCCCCAGTACTGTCTGTGTGTTATCAGTAAACTTAGTGGTGGATCACTCCCCAGTACTGTCTGTGTGTTATCAGTAAACTTAGTGGTGGATCACTCCCCAGTACTGTCTGTGTGTTATCAGTAAACTTAGTGGTGGATCACTCCCCAGTACTGTCTGTGTGTTATCAGTAAACTTAGTGGTGGATCACTCCCCAGTACTGTCTGTGTGTTATCAGTAAACCTAGTGGTTTATCACTCCCCAGTACTGTCTGTGTGTTATCAGTAAACCTAGTGGTTTATCACTCCCCAGTACTGTCTGTGTGTTATCAGTAAACCTAGTGGTGGATCACTCCCCAGTACTGTCTGTGTGTTATCAGTAAACTTAGTGGAGGATCACTCCCCAGTACTGTCTGTGTGTTATCAGTAAACTTAGTGGAGGATCACTCCCCAGTACTGTCTGTGTGTTATCAGTAAACTTAGTGGTGGATCACTCCCCAGTACTGTCTGTGTGTTATCAGTAAACTTAGTGGTGGATCACTCCCCAGTACTGTCTGTGTGTTATCAGTAAACTTAGTGGTGGATCACTCCCCAGTACTGTCTGTGTGTTATCAGTAAACTTAGTGGTGGATCACTCCCCAGTACTGTCTGTATGTTATCAGTAAACTTAGTGGTGTATCACTCCCCAGTACTGTGTGTTATCAGTAAACTTAGTGGTGGATCACTCCCCAGTACTGTCTGTGTGTTATCAGTAAACTTAGAGGTGGACCACTCCCCAGTACTGTCTGTATGTTATCAGTAAACTTAGAGGTGGATCACTCCCCATTGCTGTCTGTGTGTTATCAGTAAACTTAGTGGTGGATCACTCCCCAGTACTGTCTGTGTGTTATCAGTAAACTTAGTGGTGGATCACTGCCCAGTACTGTCTGTGTGTTATCAGTAAACTTAGTGGTGTATCACTCCCCAGTACTGTCTGTGTGTTATCAGTAAACTATTAATGTCTGTATGATGTTTTAGTGCTGTAGTTTTTGATATATTGATGATTTTATTCCCTGAAGAACTCTTCAGAAAGGGACATAAAACAACTTAAAAGTACATGTTTTGATACATTTTTACTCAAGAGCATGGTCTAATACAATTAACAACAGGTATCCAAACTGGAGGAGGAGATTATGGAGGAGTGGAAGGCCAAGTCAGAAAAGCAGCTGGCAGCTGCTCAAGACAGACATGGCAGAGCTCTTCAGGGTGTGAAGGAAGAAAAGGAGGAGCTAGAACAAAAAGTCAAAGAACTAGAGTCTAAGGTTCATAGTGAAAACAAAACTTTTCTCTGTAATTCATTTCTTTGCAGCTGCTTTCCCTGGATCCTTACAACATAACTGTCTACCACTGTACGATAAGTGTGGAGATTTTAATCTTCCTGGGGTGAATTATTGAGTTTGAAGGATTCTATGAATGATAAATATGAAATAATTCTGAGCTTATGCTGTAATTATGATTTTATGAAGTAGATGAAGATTTCCCTAAACCTGATACAGAGTAGAATCTGATGTATTTGTTACAGGCTGTGCTTTATTGATTCATTATAATGTAGTTTGTTTTAACCAGATTCAGACTTTACGAAAGTCGTCTGGTGGATCAGACGAGCGCATCAGGTCTTTGGAGGATGAGGTAGAGGATCTGACAGGCTGGAAGAACAAGGTAAGGTTCTAGATAGCAAAATTAATTATCTAAACTAATGGGACTCTTTACCTAATGTTAAGTTTCCATACCTGTTCCTTATTTTTTTTGAAGCACTCCTATGATATAATGTGTCTACTTAATGAATCTATTTCTTTGTTGTGAAATTTCTGTGACCTGTGTTTGTTGAAAAATTTGTGTGGGGCAAGATTAGTGCTATCAGATTTCTGTAAAATTTGTATTTATAGTATGACTCAGTGAAACCAAGGGGCCGTTTGTTTAGGTAGATGAAGCAGTAAAAGGGCAGATTAAATGTGATATTTTTGGCATAAATCAGGAGAGATTTGCACTTATATATACTAACACCAAGAGGCTTACCAGGTAGTCAAGCCTTGTTAGAATATATATACAAGTATATTACCTTTGTTCAAACAATACTGTTCGGACTGGTCAAACAGATAAACAAAAACAATCCAGGCCAGTGCTGAGATTTCTATAATTGATATTTGTAGTATGACTCTCTGCGAGACCAGGCCAGTGCTATGAGAGATAAGTATGAGACTCGTATATCTGAAGTAGAGGAGGAACGGGATAGCCTGGCCACTCAGCGAGATCAGCTGTACGAGAAAGTAGCCACACTTCAAAAGAATGGAGCATCAACAACGCTCCCTGGTGGGACTGGGAGTGAATCTGTTGTCACAGAGGTAACAAAACACAGAAAATCGAACATTACAGTTTTTTACAAGTTGTTATAGTCCATATGGATATTATTCTATAGGGTGTAAAACCTGAACCAAAGCATGCCCAAGTTTTGACGTAAAGATAATTTCACTCGATGACATCATAAATGCCACGATTGTTGCGATAAATTTCCTAGATAACATGTTAAGGACACTTCCAGTATGTTTACTCATTCTTCACCTCTATGAGAACAGGATCTGACCTTATGTTTCCTACAGTCACACATTATGTCCTCCTCGTGATAATCTAGAATAGTTTATATAACAAATCTAAATGCTTGTTCCAGGTGAAGAAGATAATGAATTCTGTCTATCAACAACTACGTGCCAAATTTACAGCTGAGGAGAACTACACCGGTGCAGATGTCTTAGCTGCTATACTGGAAGCTATCAAAGTAAGTGCTTTGTTGTGCAACTATGGCCTGTTATAGGATATTGATGTTAATGATATAGGATATTGATGTTAATGGTATAGGATATTGATATTGATGTTAATGGTATAGGATATTGATGTTAATGGTATAGGATACATGTATTGATATTGATGTTAATGGTATAGGATATTGATATTGATGTTAATGGTATAGGATATTGATGTTAATGGTATAGGATATTGATGTTAATGGTAAAGGATATTGATGTTAATGGTATAGGATATTGATGTTAATGGTATAGGATATTGATGTTAATGGTAAAGGATATTGAAGTTAATGGTATAGGATATTGATGTTAATGGTATAGGATATTGATATTGATGTTAATGGTATAGGATATTGATGTTAATGGTATAGGATATTGATGTTATTGGTATAGGATATTGATGTTAATGGTAAAGGATATTGATGTTAATGGTATAGGATTTTGATGTTAATGGTATAGGATATTGATGTTAATGGTAAAGGATATTGATGTTAATGGTATTTTTTATTGTATTTGATAGTTGTGTTCCTGATAATTCAAACAAAGAATTACATTTGTAGACAACGACATTGAAACTGGTCCAGCAGTCCTCACAAGGACCAGCAACAGAGGAGGAGGAGGAGGAAGATGATGAGGAAGAAGAGGAGGAGGAGGAGGAGGAGGATGAAGATGAATTGGTGGATAGTGAGGAGGAAGACGTTCAAGATTCCCCACCTCCTAACACACAGACAGGTGAGAACAAGACATTTGGTTTCATTTTTCGTAAACTACATACTGACTTATTTAACGTCCAAAATTAATCTGTATATGCACCAGAAAGGCATTGTGTTAATTGTCATTATCTTCATGAGATGTAGGCACAATGTGATAAGAGAAGTATAGTTGTTCCCTATATTGCTTTTATATTTTATTTGATATTAAATGAGGCTATCAGTGTGAAAGCATTTGTTTTTTCATTTAGTGAAATGATTTGTATTTTGTTTATCATCTTTTTTTCTGATAGTGCCTCAAGTTGAGAAGGAGACTACTGAGGCTGTACCGAGTGCAGAGAAACAGGAGCCTCTAGAAGGTGAGCTGCCTTGGTAACCAATAACAGGATGAAGCCAGGTGTCACAACATTGACCAGTAACTTGTGTGTAGACTGGAACAGAGATGAAGAGAGAATTAATATGCTGTAAAGATTATTGAACAAACTGAGACAAGAGACTTAGTCATTTAACAAGATTTTCTAGATAAATAGGTCATTGAAACACAATTTTTGAGATGAAGAACTTCAGTTATTTGATTGACTGACATTAATCAGGCATATATCAGCTTTTTACCATAATGATAGATGGCCACATCAGCTCAGTCAGTAGTGCATCACATTTTCCAAGAAATGGGTAAGGTGTGAGGTGTATGTTTTTCCCTGCCTAGAGGCAGTATAACTCTACCCTGATCATTTTTCATAGCATGCAGTGGACCTCCTCCTGCATGGTGTCCATTGAGACAGCCATCGTCTAATACGAGGAGACCCCATCTTAAAATGGCCTTGGCTGTACATTGGGTAATAAACTATACAAATGAACAAAAAACATATTGATAGGAAAATTATTTCAAGCAGCTGTAAGCATTGCATTATCGCATTGTAATTAATTACTGAGAACAAGTTCCATCTTTTTCAAATATCTTAATTTTCATTTGCAGACAGCGAAGAGAGTGATGACTTTGACGAGGAAGAGGAGGAAACACTCCCAGAGTCACCAGAGAAACCTAAGATTACAGATGATGATAAAAGTCAACCTGCAGAGGATCCGATTGTAGAACCTCAGCCTCCACAAACACAGGAGAGTTCTCCAAGTGTAGATAACTCTGATTTAGAAACAGGGGACAATAAATCAGGAGTAGATAACTCTCAAGAACAACAAAATAATGAACCGGTGATAGAACAAAATATGGTGGAAAATCTATCAGAGACAAATCATGTGACAGTAGAGAGTCCGATATCTGAACCAGTCAAACGGGATTCAGAGAGTAGTGAAATTATACCAGTATCCTCAAGGACACCACCACCTTTGTTGGATGACGAGGAGGATGAGGACGAAGACAAAGAAGAGGATGCAGGGGACAAGTAAGTGTTGTTATGCTGACCACTGGTCAAAGACAGGTAGGTTATAGCTACACCGTATTTGGTAGACTTTTATAGTTGATGGTGAAGGAAAAAATCACATGACTGATCTGTGATTTTAGTTTTATTTATGTAAAAGTTGGAGGAAGAATGTCAGGTCAGAGAAATTAGTTTGTTAGATTGAATACATTAAATGAATACATTAATCACCTACAGTGTATATTTTTCAGGTGTTTCTGTATTTTTGCTAACCTGTTCTCTTGGACGTAATTTCACCTCCACCATTTAGTATCATAGTGACAAATGTTTACAAAACTCTCGACTTTTTTTAGATCTCAAGATTTTTTTTAAGTTTCTGTGATTTTCAACATATAGTGTTATTAATTCTCCAAAAGTACAACAAATAGGGGATTGTACATATGGGTTTGTAATCAGTGTTTTAATGGTCATTTTATCATCATGCGTTTGTTGTATATATGACCTGTTTTACAGGCCGTTGTTTGGTGAAGATGATACTGTAGAAGACACTCTTGGGATTTCCTTCAAACAAAACAATGATAAAGAAAAGAAAGATAAAAAGCTCCCAACGAAATCAGACATCGAAAATGATGAGGTTTGTTAATATGATTTTCATTACATAATAGACAGCAAGTGATTTGATCTGAAATCTGTTGTTTTTATACATTATGAATAAAGTCGCTTTTGCATAAACGGTTGAACCTGCAACAAAAATTCCAGGTAGAGATCAGGTTCGCGCATTATTTGGCATGTGCAGATTGAGGTATTCAGCTACACATGTCCAAAACCAACGTGCTGAATATCATTAGTTTCCAGAGCTTCAGCATATAGTAGGGTCAGTGCACTCACATATTTCCGGAAGTTTTGTGCTATTTAGTATGAGTGAAATGGATGGTATCTTAACTTTAGTTAATTGATTTATGATTGACAGGAATTTCTGAAACTGTACATTTTGAGCTTTACATATGTCATGTCCAACATCCCATACATGTGTGATTATATATGGTGGAATAATCCCACACCACCTGTACCATTTCTACTGGGTTACTCAAAAGTAGCCGAAGAATCACAGCAACGAGATAAACATTACTAATCAAAGCTACGTTATTTTGTAGGACCTGAAGCCACAGCCTCCTCCTCCTTTGTTTGGTGATGACGACGATGATGATGACTTGGACTGGCTCAGCTAATGTATAGCTAGTTGTGTAGGCTGTTTTTCAAGTGCTAATATTTTGCTTCTTGATGTTAGACTGTGCACAGAGTGAGGGGCAGGCTTCCCCTTACTGAATGTGAAAATCATTTAACATAAGGTCAACCTGTCTTCACATTACTCTCAAGTGTGGTTTATATCTGATGGAGAGACAATGTACAAGTGTCATGGCTGTGATAAACTTTCTGTGTAGAACTGTTGCTTCATTCATCCGTCACAGATTGTAGGTGTGTGTCATTATACAGAAATTCAAATTTGTTAAATGAAGAAATGATTGTTCTGCCATAATTCATTTACAAATCTAAAAAAGCCAATCTTAAGAAGGGTACAAGGCCCTGTGCGAAAGTAGGACATTATTCCATCATCAAAATTGTTAGGAAAAAAGGAAGAAACATTTTATTATGCTGAAATTTTGTTATATAAATGTATTCTTCTTTTATTTTTTTTTTTAATTTTCTTCAAAATTTCCAATTATTTCTGGTCGCAAAGACTTGTACTACAGCAGAATTAAACAGAGATTTTCTAAATAAGAGGTTGTAGAATGATTGATGTTACGGAACATATATCGAGATTTTGAGGTAAATAATTACGAGTTCTGTTTCCCCTCAGTCACTGTTAGATTTTCCTTTTCGTTGGTGAGGATTTAGTTTTCTCTTGTGACCCCGGAAATATTTCAGACTTGATTAACATATTGACTTTTTGAGAAATACGGGTCCAGGGTGAAATATAAGGGAACATTTTACCTTCATTATTCACGACTAGCATGTTAAAATTCACACTGCATGATGTTAATTTATAAATCAGCTTTCAAATAGACAGGAATGGGAGAAAAAAGTCCAACCAGGTACTAGTTGTATGTGAGAATGCTGTGTTTGAATAGCTGTCTGTAAGTGGTTAATGCATAGAATTGATAATAGTATTGTAGCAAGTCTTCCTAAAACAGCATTCTTACACACTTGTGTATATGTTGGTTTCATCATTTGGAATACTTCTACAGTAAAATGAATGAGGTATATGTTTCCAATGTGCCAAAGTAATTTTATCATATGGCAGTGTTGGTTCTGGTATGTTCATGTCATTCTTTATTATTTAGAATCCATTCTCTCACTTAAACACGAAGTATTACAGTATTACAAGTAACCTTTACCAATACTTTCACTCAATTGTGAGAAATGCAATACTATTCAGTGGTCGGTCATATTCTATCACTGATAGTATATGGTGATTTTATGCGACATATCACAAACCCACTATTTGCTAGGTCAAAGCCTGCTGGTATAATACAAAATACAGGAACTGCCTAGTATATCCCTAAATCTTAAATTTCATCTTTAATTTTTGGATCGCACGATGATCAAAATGATGAGTAAATGAAGGGTAACATAAAGTATTATTCAGATTCATACAAATATGTTAACTATACAATAAATATGATTACGAGGCCATTTTGTTTGTTGAACTGCCATTAAAAATCCCTTCATCCATGATTTTAAGGGTTCTAATTACAAGATATTTATCACAGGGTTATGTTCAAACATTTCATTGTGAATTTCAGATTTCATCTTCATGTATTAATTAAAAGGAAGTGAAATTCTAATTCCACTTATTCATAGGAAAGTATTTATTTTGTAAGCATCTTATATTCTAAATAATTTCATTTTGTCAAATCTTGATAATTGTTCGTGAAATAAGTTAAATGCAGTTGTAGAAATAATCAAATTTTACTTCTCAACAAAAACAAAAAGGTTTTAAGTGAGATTATATGATACATTTGCCATTAAAAGATGACTTTGAATGGCTGGGTCTCTCTGGTTATTGAAAGAAAATTTGTAACTGTCTTCATAGGAAAGTTTGCTGTGGCATACCTTTATTTGGACCTGCAGTCAAACCTTTCTATAAAGGCCACTCAAGGGTACAGATGAAAGTGGCCTCTATACACAGGTAGCATTTAACTAGAGGTTCAGTTATTATACAATGAATTGCATTACATAGTGAATAAAAAAAGTGACCTTTACAGACAGGTGGCCTTTGCTATCCCCTGTCCAACAAAGTTGACGAGGGATATTCAAATAGGTTCCGTCTGTCCGTCTTTCTGTCCTTCCGTTCGTCTGTCCAGATGCTGCTTTCCACATGATATCTTTTGAAGGATGGGGCAGATTTTGATGAAACTTGGTCGGTACACTTGTTACCTTAGTCCCTGGCCCAAGTTCCACTGATGGCGAATTCTGTGCATATTTAATAAGGCCTGTGACCTGATTGGTTGATTTCTTTAATCACTCTCGGATGCTGCTTTCCACATGATATCTTTTGAAGGACAGGTAGGATTTTGATGAATCTTGGTTGGTACATTTGTTACCTTAATCCCGTGCTCAAGTTCTTTCTGCACATTATCTTATGAAGGAATGATCAGATTTAAAGGAAACTTCCTTTGTAGACAGAATACCTTAATTCCTTGTTCAGGTTTGATTATCAGTAAAGTCCATGCATATTTTATGAGACAGCTGAGACCTGATTGGATGATAATTTTCAGCATTCCAACTGAACACTTTCTGCAAATTATCTTTTTGAAGGAACAAATTAATTATGATGAGACTTGTGTGGTAGATTTGTTACCTTAACCCCTTGTTCAAGTTTGATTATCGGCAAATTATGTGCATATTTAATGAGGGTACTGTGACCTGATAGGCTGATATCCAGTATAAGGTTACTACTTTACAGTGATGATAACACATGAAACACTCGGTATAAATCTGTATATAGATTACACACAATTACATGTGTCACACATGGAATACTTATTCCTCTGAAAAAACTTGTCCGGTAACTGTACAACAAGTCTTCATTCAATTGATGTGATATGTTACACTATGTATGTAATTATATTTTGTAATTATGCAAATACGAAGGCTTAAAAGCTGGGGAAAATAACAAATAAAATATTGAATTATTCTCTTTCTGATATTTGTTTTTCCACATGTTGTTATTAGGATATGAAGAATGAGATGTTGAATGGATGTAAGGAAATATAAACATAAAACGTAAAAGTAGCCACATTTCGAAAAATTAAGTTTTATTACTAATCGACATAATGATTAGTTTATGAAAAATTGTCAACATGCATTAGAAGGTTACAAATATTGAGACAGTGCACAGTTTGAAAGATAGTTAAAATATTTCCATTTTTAAACATTCCAAGAAAAATGTATATTTCTCATGAGATAAGTTTGACATAGATGGCTTTGTATTTATAAAAGTTTTGAAAACTGTGAACAAAAATTATACAAATATATAAATATATATATAATTGGTCCACCTGGGAGACAAAAGTCAATAAAAATAATATATATATATATACTACAGATTTTTTTTTTACGATAAACATGTGTCAACCAAACATCAAATACACAAGAACAAGGACATAAGCAATGTTGTATAGTAATAAACTTACATTCAGATCTTTCACTATGGAATATGTTTTTTGTACAGGAACATATTCACCAGAGATTAAACCTCACTCTCTCCGCCACCTGTTGCTCACGGTAACATGACATATTAGCATACAGATTAGAGTGTGCTATTCTAGTGAGAAGAAAGAGATTACCTTTCAGAGAACATACATACTGTGTAGACAGCGAAATATATCACCGGGCAAAAAATCTACATCGATAATGTATACATGTATAATATTTAGAAAAATATACTGGCATTTGTGAACGTATCTATATGAACAAATTACCATCCAAAAACTGGGTATAGGCAAGTAACACCTGGAACGCCCTCCCTATTGGGTATAGGCAAGTAACATCTGGAATATCCTCCAAACTGGATATAGGCAAGTAACACCTGGAATGACCTCCAAATTGGGTATAGGTAAGTAACACCTTGAATGCCCTGCCTATTGGGTATAGGTAAGTAACAACTGGAATACCCTTTGAACTGGGTATAGGCAAGTAACACCTGGAATATCCTCCGAACTGTGTATAGGTAAGTAGCAACTGGAATGTGAGAAGAATGCCCATGAAGTAATCCAAGACACTCCTATGCTGTAAATATACAGCACAAAGCTATTGCACCACATGTATATATACTGTACCATTTAAAGATGTAAAAAAATATACCAGGTTCAATTTTATTTCATCAACTTTGGTGATAAAAAGGATGGCACAAAATAACCTGATGATCCTGAGGTGTTGCTAACCATACAAAGGCGATGCATTATTATAAGTGACAGTGATATGATAGTTTGGATGTGCAATAGTAACATGATTAATTTTAACTAGTAGTCCTGGGTTCAATTGCATAAACAGATATGAAAACGTATGGAATCACTGTCCCAGGTTTTGGTTTCCTCCCACAGCAGGATCACCCGTATGCTTTCATCCGGGCCACCAAGAGTGATTGATAGAACTTGTTTGGTAATAATTGTAAAATTAATCAAATTTAAAGACTATACAGAACAATCATAGTAAAAACAACTTCTATGTACAGTCCAGCATATGTAAATAATCTATTGCTACATAGTAGTACATTAGCAGATGTTGCAGATGTTCGACAAATTTTGATTATCTGCCCCTAGTTCCATGATGATTCACCAGGTTTCCTTGGGGCACGGTTCGTAGGTCGCCACCAATGCTTTAAAGCTTTTCCAAACCTGTTTATGCTGGAAACATACGGTTCCTCCTGCCCTATGGAACTGGGAAAGCTGAAACAGGAGATAAGAAACAAAATACAAAAGTAGTACAACAATGTATTAACACTGTATCTAACGTTAATTTTGAATCGGAATTTACAGGCACCAAATGACATGAGACTATCAGAGACAAAGGTACTCAAGTTGTTCTCCTTACACTAATGGGTTTCGTCAATACATCAATTCACAACCTTTGATATAATGGGCTGCAACTTCTCAGTTTTAACTTAACATCATTCAATGAATAGAGAAAACATTTTCACATCATTCAACAAAAATACAATGGATATATAGGACAAATTTAAAGACATTTTAAACAAGACCTTGACAAACTTGAGTAGAATTGATAAAGTTTTCACATTGGTAGAATTCATAAGCTCGCAAAATTTTCAAAATTTTCATTCAGAAGTCACGATTTGGTAGTGTAACAAATGATAAAGTGCATCATCTAAGTAATTTGTGGCACAATGATCACCAATTCTGTTTTGGCATTCAATGTTTTTCCATCTGCCAGGTTTCACTATGTATTTATGGTGATTCGTCTAAATTTACAAAGCAAAATTGTCATGATGTAACAAAGTAACAATCATTTTGATACATCATATACCATATCAATTTTACACTGAAGAACTGAAAACCTAACTCCTACAAAATCTGCTTGATAGTAGTTCTACTCGTTTTGGGTTCAAATACGTCAAACCAAATTCATTCAAAACATTTTGTATGAAAGTAGGGTAATTCAGTATTGTATCAATATTGTGAAGGGAAAATTCCCTGGTTTATCCAGCATCATTAGATGGTGGGTCATTCAAATGGCTCTATGTCTGGTTCGTCCAGTATCATTAGATGGTGGGTCATTCAAATGGCTTTATGTCTGGTTTGTCCAGTATCATTAGATGGTGGGTCATTCAAATGGCTCTATGTCTGGTTTGTCCAGTATCATTAGATGGTGGGTCATTCAAATGGCTCTATGTCTGGTTTGTCCAGTATCATTAGATGGTGGGTCATTCAAATGGCTCTATGTCTGGTTTGTCCAGTATCATTAGATGGTGGGTCATTCAAATGGCTCTATGTCTGGTTTGTCCAGTATCATTAGATGGTGGGTCATTCAAATGGCTCTATGTCTGGTTTGTCCAGTATCATTAGATGGTGGGTCATTCAAATGGTTCTATGTCTGTGTCATTCTTGTTTTACAATAAAAGTTTGTTAACACAAATCTCGTTAAGTACTGGATTGATCTTTCTAAATTTGACAGTAAAAAGATTATTATCACTATTTCAAAAGAGGAATTTTCGAATTTCATAAAATAAAGAGGAAAGATAGAGAAAAGAAGGAAAAAGATCCCATAGAAGAACAAATAATGTTCAAACAATGGTGGGTACCAAGATCCCTCTGGGATCTCTTGTAATTCATAATCATGCATACTGACAAACAAGGTCACCTGAAATTTACTTGTGATGACAAACAAGATCACCTATGATTTGCTTGTGTTGACAAACAAGGTCCTTTGTAATTTACATACGTTGACAGGTCTCTTGTAATTGATATGTATTGACGTACAATGTCCTTGTAACTTACGTGAGTTGACATATTTGGTCCTCTGTAATTTACCTGTGTTGACATACACGGTCCCATGTAATTTACCTGTGTTGACAAATATACAAGTTCCCCTGTAATTTACCTGTCTGTTTATATCTCCGATACATGTCCACTCTCCTTTATCTACAGACACTGCCCATTTGGAATGGTCCTTGGTCTCCAAGAAACTCACACCTCCGACAGGAAAGGTCACGTTCTGGACATTATACACCTACAATACATACAAATATCATAGACTTGTTTCCATAGTAACAGGAACAGATATAAACAAATACTTGCACTGGATAGGAGATTCTGTACAGTTTTTACTTAACATGAATTTTTGTACAGGTTGTCTCCCCTCTTTACTATTGCTACACTTAAGATGTTGGACATACCATGTACTGGTCGGGTGTTGTCTCCCATTTTAATGAGGCCAGAGCTGTGATGTTGATATGACCTTATTCTGGGTAGGGGGTTCTCTTTCCATTTTACTCGGCCATTGTAGCTGTGTTAGAATACATTTAAATTGGCGGAAGTTGTGGTGTTATCATACCTTGTACTGACTGGAACAGTTGGTTGGCAGATTCTGTTTAGCACCTCCTTTCTGCCAGGATTCTACCATAATGTCACAATGAAGATCAATGGCCACCAAGTCGTCATACAAATCTGTGTACCAAGATAGTTATATAATATTACTTTTACTGTCATAAACTATTGATTGTAAAAATTACATCAAAAACCTGTCATTTATTACATCCATGTCATGAAAGAAGGAGGAACACAGCAAACTTTTATTTGATCACGAATCAGTCAGGGTCAACGACATGTTTATTCCTTAAATTTCTAAATAAAAGCACATCGTTGATTTCACTTCAATATTATAAGCCTAGTTTTGCATTTCATGGTTCATTTCGACATCTATAGTCCTAAAGATGTGAGGTAGTTAGCTCATAGTCAATTCTCAAGTGAGACGTCTTCATCAAACTGAAAGCAGACTTACCGGCCATGAATTTCCCAAACTTGGCATAACTAACAAACTGATGGCCAGCCTTTGATACCAGCGTTGTTTTGTGGTACCACGGCAACTGGCTGACATGTGATTGTGTATCCCCTAGAATCTTGTTCATCATAGGGCTCTCTGTGGCAAAACTGGCTGGGAAAAATTTGTCATAGATCTTGGGATAATTATACAGAAGTTGTTCACCTGTAAGATAAAACAAAAAAAATTGCACTAGGCTTGTCTTTGTCTTGCTTTAGGTACACTTTTCAGGAAAACCACTCACCCAGTTGTCTAACTATTTCACAATCACTAACTAGTTATCTAGATATTTTTCCACCACTAATCCAGTCATCTAACAATTTCATAGCCACTAACTAGTTATCTAAATATTTTTCCATCACTAACCTTGTTGTCTAACTATTTCACAACCACAAACTAGTTATCTAAATATTTTCCATCACTAACCAAGTTGTCTATTTCACAACCACTTACTAGTTATCTAAATATTTTTCCATCACTAACCCAGTCATCTAACTATTTCACAACCACAAACTAGTTATCTAAATATTTTCCATCACTAACCAAGTTGTCTATTTCACAACCACTTACTAGTTATCTAAATATTTTTCCATCACTAACCCAGTCATCTAACTATTTCACAACCACTTACTAGTTATCTTAATATTTTTCCATCACTAACCCAGTCATCTAACTATTTCACAACCACTAACTAGCTATCTAAATATTTTCCATCACTAACCCAGTCATCTAACTATTTCACAACCACTAACTAGTTATCTAAATATTTTTCCATCACTAACCTTGTTGTCTAACTATTTCACAACCACGAACTAGTTATCTAAATATTTTTCCATCACTAACCCAGTCATCTAACTATTTCACAACCACTAACTAGTTATCTAAATATTTTTCCATCACTAACCCAGTCATCTAACTATTTCACAACCACTAACTAGTTATCTAAATATTTTTCCATCACTAAACCAGTCATCTAACTATTTCACAGCCACTTACTAGTTATCTAAATATTTTCCACCACTAACCACTAACCACTAACTAGTTGTCTACTAACCCAGTTGTCTAACTATTCAGCAACCACCAGGTCAGTTATCTCACTAAACAATAACCACTAATACAGATTTAATTGTTCCCATAGTTAAGATGTCTCCTGTTTCCTCTAGTGAACAGGGTCAGGTATGAAGATATTTATTAAGAGTTAAATACTTTATTGGATGGTGTTCTACTGATTTGTGTTCAATAAAGCAGTATTTCTAAACTTTTTTTGTTTATGAGCAAAATCAAGTAAATATTTACACAAAACAGCTTAATGCTAAATAACACATTTTCTATATCAATACATTTGTGTAGGAGGTTGTTGTTAAACAATTAAAATAAACAAGTTTTGATTGGCTAACATTGTAAACTTTGACCTATGTAAATGGTGAATGAAAGGACAATTCGGCATGAAGATTGCTTCATTTGCTCAATGACATTAAAACACAAATAAAGTTGCTTGCATTTGTTCAAGTAATAATTCAATCATCATATGGATTTCTATCGATTTATTGCTTTGAAAACAATAAACCCATTAATTACTTGTTATATTATGTAAAATATTATAATATTTCCAATTTTCCATAAAATGTCAGTTTTGCATATTCATTGGTGGCATTTTTACTATTTATGCTGATATTGTGTGGGTGGAGTACAAGTCATTTCCTCATCATCAGAATAACTTTTTAATTGTAGGAGAAACACACACTTAAGGCCATTACGTATGGTACTTTTTCCCAAAAGTTACTAAAACACTCTTTAAAGCTTATATTTCATGTAACTTTTCAACAAATATGTAACTTTAGTAAAAGAGATACAATATACAACAACTGCTCTTTTTGAGTTGTTTTGTTTGATACAGCTGCTGTAAAAAATATATTCAAGCTTTCATCCTTTTTTTCTACTGTATGAAAACCATAAAAGGGTGAAAAGTGTTGGACAAAATTAATCCAACAAACAGTAATATTAACACTTATTCTACAAAACATAACTGACTTGATTTTGTTGAGTACATACCGATCTTATCCATCATGGTAGTTGGGTAGGTAACACAGAGAAATGCCTGCCCATAATCCTTGGCACTCTCAGGCCACGCCCACCTGCTGGTCTTGTTAGGTGGAAAGCGTGGGGTACTGTGCACCAACCAAAATCCGTCTTGAGTATCAAAACTCAACACTCCTGTTTTCATCATAATATAAACAAATCTTAATATTCTAGATGGCTATTTTACATTCTTTATGTCAGAACTTAGTATACCATATTCCAAAAAATAATTTCCAACAGAGCTTTGGTCAAGGTAAAATCAAAACCATGACAAAATTATCTGAATTCTTACTTTTCCTGTTCTATTTAGCAGACATGGTTGAGTGAACAAACTAACGTTTCAAGGTTAACAATTATTTCATACCTTATACAGAAATATAAATGTATGTTTTTAGTATATAAAGAGAATTCTGTTCTGTCTGTCAGAAAAATCTTCCCTAAGGGAGGTAACTGTGATAGTACTACATATATCTATGTGAATAGTTCTATATATACCTTTAGTGTGTCCATGGTTGAGACTCTCTGAGGAAGGTGTCTGGTCATTGTACATCATATACATGTAATTTTCGTTCTTCTGTGAAAAAAAGGATAGAAAATTTTGATGGCTGGGTTCAGTTACAGCCAGGGATACCTTGTAGCATCCCACATTGTGCATGTTGCATGAGTGGTGTAAAAAAAATACAACTAAGCAGGGGAAGTTTTTAGCTTCCTGATAAAAACAGACCACACTGAGCATCACAATATATAGTGCATGCCATGTACACAGATATCCATGTAAACATACAACACTGACAGATATCCCTGTATACATACAACATTGACAGATATCCCTGTATACATACAACACTGACATATACTTGTATATACAAACACTGACAGATATCCATGTATACATACAACACTGACAGATATCCTTGTATACATACAACACTGACAGATATCCCTGTATACATACAACACTGACAGATATCCCTGTATACATACAACACTAACAGATATCCCTGTAAACATACAACACTGACAGATATCCCTGTATACATACAACACTGACAGATATCCTTGTATACATACAACACTGACAGATATCCTTGTATACATACAACACTGACAGATATCCCTGTATACATACAACACTGACAGATATCCTTGTAAACATACAACAATATGACAGTGATTTTTAAGTGATTTTGATTACATTTTACACATACTTACTGGCTGGTTGTAGATCTGCTGCACTGTGTTATACACAGGGTTGGTAACGCTACCATTTATCCCAACCTTAGACAACATCCAGGTAGGAGAGTTATCATCCATGTAGTAGAAGCCAAGTCCTTCTTGTAAGACAGAGTTAGCATTCTTAGGCAAGACAGGCAGCTTGTATACAATGAACCTACAGAGATAATGATACATAAGACCTTGTATACAATATACCTACAGAGATAATGATACATAAGACACTGTATACAATGTACCTTCAGAGATAATGATACATATGACCTTGTATACAATGTACCTACAGATAATGATACATATACACAGACCTTGTAGTACAGAGATAATGATACATACGACCTTGTATACAATGTACCTACAGAGATAATGATACATACGACCTTGTATACAATGTACCTACAGAGATAATGATACATAAGACCTTGTATACAATGTACCTACAGAGATAATGATACATAAGACACTGTATACAATGTACCTACAGAGATAATGATACATAAGACCTTGTATACAATGTACCTACAGAGATAATGATACATAAGACCTTGTATACAATGTACCTACAGAGATAATGATACATACGACCTTGTATACAATGTACCTACAGAGATAATGATACATACGACCTTGTATACAATGTACCTACAGAGATAATGATACATAAGACACTGTATACAATGTACCTACAGAGATAATGATACATAAGACACTGTATACAATGTACCTACAGAGATAATGATACATAAGACCTTGTATACAATGTACCTACAGAGATAATGATACATACCTTGTATAAGACCTTAATGATACATACCTTGTATACATGTACCTACAGAGATAATGATACATAATACAATGTACCTACAGAGATAATGATACATTTGTATACAATGTACCTACAGAGATAATGATACATAAGACCTTGTATACAATGTACAAGATAATGTACCTACCTTGTAGACATACGACCTAATAATGATACATAAGACCTTGTATACAATGTACCTACAGAGATAATGATACATCAGACCTTGTATACAATGTACCTACAGAGATAATGATACATACGACCTTGTATACAATGTACCTACAGAGATAATGATACATCAGACCTTGTATACAATGTACCTACAGAGATAATGATACATAAGACCTTGTACACAATGTACCTACAGAGATAATGATACATAAGACCTTGTATACAATGTACCTACAGAGATAATGATACATAAGACCTTGTATACAATGTACCTACAGAGACATTTTTGTCCTGATGACGGTCGCATAGCAGCCAAAACATGTAGACAATTTTCACACAAAGTCTTTGTATTGTAGTGTTTCCTTTGTATTTGTAACGCTGTGCCTTGTATATATTATACTCTGTACCTTCAGAGATAATGATACAAAGTTGTATAAATATCAATATACTTATTAGTTAACAAATCACGTCGATGTATGTAAGTAAGTATACCGCTATGTAGTTTGTAGTGGCATGACTAGATGAGTGGCAGAAACTTTTGTGTCTCACCAATCAACAGGCTTGCCGGTTTCAGACAGACATCCCATGCTGTCCACAGTAACCAGTGTCCAACACAGCGCCAGACTGGTCATTAGACTCCTCAGTCCCGTCATTATATCAACTGATAACCCCGCCCGTACAGGTTCCACTTTTCCAACAACCTGTCACATGAACAGGAAGTAACCTCATACATGTGGTTGTACTTTCGGTTTCATGTCACGTGATCGCTAATTGGATTTTGTACAGGTTTGGCGGATAACAATGTAACCTACTTCCTTGTGGAAACTTAAATAGTAAAAAATAGTTATCTTTCATAAAATTGTCATATGGTTTTCAGACAGAACACAGTCCAAATGGACAATAGGAAAGTGTTATGCAAGCCTTTTCGCACAGATTCGGACTTGAGCAAGACTGATCTTCGCATAAATACACACTTAAACACACTACACACCAGTGTGCAATGGACACACGGTGTCACCACACACTGGTATACAAAGTTCATTAAACAAACTACATATAAATGCTCACTAAACACGTTCAATACATATAATGTTCGCTCCACATGTATCTATATATACATATAGCAGAAGGACGATGGTCCCAAACCACGTTTGGCCATATATTGTATATATAATATTTCTTTTGAAAGAAGGTATTTCATTGGTCAGACCATTGATTGGATGATGCACCCGTTCCCTGTTTCGAACCCATACCGAGCGCTACATGGGAACCCGCTTCGATTATTGATAATCAGCAGAGAGGGTTGTTCAGTGCATCAAAGTTACCCATTACTGACTTAATTGACATTTGCATCTTTTCTTAATGGTAGAATTTTCTTTACTTTTGGACCCATCTTGAAGCGACTCCAACAGGTGTGCTTTTAATCTTCTACTGATGTGTCAACGACGCCACAGGATTGGTCAACAATCGATGACCACAGACAATATGGTTGGGGTCATCTTGAAGCTAAGTCATGACATACACTGACGGAATAGAGTAGGTAATTTGTGTCGTTTTAGACAAACAAATATGTCATCGATCGATTTGTTCGATGTAACTGTTATGTCGTCGTCAATATGTTTGGAAAAGGTGTTAAAGAAAACCCGGATCTTGACCAACCCTAAATAGTGACATTACTGAAAAACACAAGTATACAACTGTAGATTCTGTGACAGTGTTATAGCCGATTATGTTTACTTCCCGTCAATGTATTGAATTAGGAGCGTCCATGGATGAGAGCTTGTTTTTGTGATAGGCTGCAATAGTGCTGAAGCTTAGTCTGAAGGGTTTGGCTATGCTATTGTATTTTTATGCTCCCCAAAGGGAGAGCGTATAGTTGCTGCTTTGTACGTCCAGAGCATAACACAAAACTATAGGAGGTATCAACATGAAACATCATAGGTAGATAGATCTCATCAAGGACTTGCTTGATTTGGCTCTTTTACGTCCTTTTCTAGTCCTCGTCAACAAATCTTGTAGTACTGGAGTCAAGGAATTCTGTTCTTTAGGGCTGGTGCCTGGCTCACATGACAGTACCTGGTACCCCGTATACAGGAGCTTCTGGCGTTGGTACTCTGCACAATGGTATACCTTTGCTTTAGCCTTTTATCAATATTGTAAATATTGTTCAAAATATTCTACAGAGTTTCCCACCCAGAGTATTATTTTATTTTTATTGTAACAGGTCTTACGTCCACTTTTACGACCTTGCGGTCTTTCAACGGACGATAAAAGATAGGAAAAAGAGTAGGAGCGGAAAAGTAGGATTGATGGGAGGGAGTTGGATGTAGAGATGAAATAGAGGGGACCGTCTATTCTACTTGACCTGATCTAAAAACTAAAATTTAGAAGGCGACTCCCGTTCTTAATTGTACACCTAGCCTAATATTCAGCACGACACGGCAAGAAAACCGGTGTCAGGACTGAGAGGGAGAAGGGTTCGGATTGTTGATTGAGTTTTGGAGGTCCCTCGAAATTACTTAATAAATATTTTCCTAATGTTACCCTAACTCCAACCTCTGAGCCGGCGTTATCACGTCTGCTCTTTTCCGAAAAGTCATAAAGGGGTTTTATTGTGCAAGTTGGATACTCTCACACGGGCCACCGCTTTAAGTCCCATCCGACGGACTGTGGATTTATGGTTATTTGTTAGTATGATGTTGGTGGTGATGTTGTTGTTTATTCCACAGAGTATTAGTGGTAACCCGCTTCTGAGTACCTGGCAGTCTTGTGAAGCTCAAGTACAAAGACATTTGTTTAAATAAACAATTTATTAAAGAATCAACAACTACATTCCAATATAATCATCTTTACAGAGTAAATTATCTTTCTCATTAATAAAAGAATAATTGGAAATAATTGGCTATCACTTTAAGTCATCTGCTCATTAGTAATCGAATATAATTCACAGAAGTAGCAAGTGTAAACCTAACGTTACTACAAGGGGGATAACTCTAACGAAAATCATCACACTTACTACAGATACACACTGAATGTGTTTTTCTTTACATTGATACACGTACGTCTTGGTTAGAACTTTGAAAAAACATATTCACCTCACATATACCCTAAATATCCATTAATATATTAATTTATACTTATATTTGTATAGATATATTACTATAAACTGAAAAATGTGTTGATAGTCAAAGACGGGATATACATTTCTACACCAGAACAGCTGACGACAGATCTAGAGGTATCACAGGTTTTTGTTACCAATTATCTTCTGGTGTGTGTATATATAGTCTGGGGGTAACGAACCTTGATGTTTCACCTAGACCTGTTAAAGGAATGAGAGCACCACACTATATAGGAAGGCCTGTTAAAGGAATGAGAGCAACACACTATATAGGAAGGCCTGTTAAAGGAATGAGAGCACCACACTATATAGGAAGGCCTGTTATAGGAATGAGAGCACCACACTATATAGGAAGGCCTGTTAAAGGAATGAGAGCAACACACTATATAGGAAGGCCTGTTAAAGGAATGAGAGTACCACACTATATAGGAAGGCCTGTTATAGGAATGAGAGCACCACACTATATAGGAAGGTCTGTTAAAGGAATGAGAGCACCACACTATATAGGAAGGCCTGTTAAAGGAGTGAGAGCACCACACTATATAGGAAGGTCTGTTAAAGGAATGAGGGCATCACACTATATAGGAAGGTCTGTTAAAGGAATCAGAGCACCACACTATATAGAAAGGCCTGTTAAAGGAGTGAGAGCACCACACCATATAGGAAGGCCTGTTATAGGAATGAGAGCACCACACTATATAGGAAGGCCTGTTATAGGAATGAGAGCACCACACTATATAGGAAGGCCTGTTAAAGGAGTGAGAGTACCACACTATATAGGAAGGCCTGTTATAGGAATGAGAGCACCACACCATATAGGAAGGCCTGTTAAAGGAATGAGAGTACCACACTATATAGGAAGGCCTGTTATAGGAATGAGAGCACCACACTATATAGGAAGGCCTGTTATAGGAATGAGAGCACCACACTATATAGGAAGGTCTGTTAAAGGAATGAGAGCACCACACTATATAGGAAGGCCTGTTAAAGGAATGAGAGCACCACACTATATAGGAAGGCCTATTAAAGGAATGAGAGCACCACACTATATAGGAAGGCCTGTTAAAGGAATGAGAGCACCACACTATATAGGAAGGCCTGTTAAAGGAATGAGAGCACCACACTATATAGGAAGGCCTGTTAAAGGAATGAGAGCACCACACTATATAGGAAGGCCTGTTAAAGGAATGAGAGCACCACACTATATAGGAAGGCCTGTTATAGGAATGAGAGCACCACACTATATAGGAAGGCCTGTTATAGGAATGAGAGCACCACACTATATAGGAAGGCATGTTAAAGGAATGAGAGCACCACACTATATAGGAAGGCCTGTTAAAGGAATCAGAGTACCACACTTTATAGGAAGGCCTGTTAAAGGAATGAGAGTACCACACTATATAGGAAGGCCTGTTATAGGAATGAGAGCACCACACTATATAGGAAGGCCTGTTAAAGGAATCAGAGTACCACACTTTATAGGAAGGCCTGTTAAAGGAATGAGAGTACCACACTATATAGGAAGGCCTGTTATAGGAATGAGAGCACCACACTATATAGGAAGGCCTGTTATAGGAATGAGAGCACCACACTATATAGGAAGGCCTGTTAAAGGAATGAGAGCACCACACTATATAGGAAGGCCTGTTAAAGGAATGAGAGCACCACACTATATAGGAAGGTCTGTTAAAGGAATGAGAGCACCATACTATATAGGAAGGTCTGTTAAAGGAATCAGAGCACCACGTGATATATGATCGTGTGTCTTGTATAACGATATGGTGATTAAACTTAAATTGTACCTGAGACCTCACCAAGCAGAGGAAGGAAGAGTGGAATATATTTAGGGCTAGATGGCATTACATTATTTTAACTTTTATCATTATTCTTACAACATGTACACACTTCGCCTAATCTCTCTTTGCTGAAGATGTAGAAACGGACACTATATCCCGGGCACTGATTCTCTAGAGACACTCTGTTACACATATTTGATATTCTCGAATGCCAGGCGACATTGTTTTAATCATAGAGACATTATAACGTATTTGTTTGTGTTTTATGTTAAGTGTGATACTAACATACACATTTTATTGTTATTTAGTACAGGTGCCAACACAGTGATTGCAGACGCTGCAACTGACCCGAGTCTGGAATGTTTACTCCATTGATATGACGTAGATGGTGACGGGGTCCCTTAGGTACATGATAACACGGAAGTTATGTGGTTCTAGATAGGATATCTACAGATGTTACAACTTTTCAAAAGTCGACAAGAGATGATTTAAGGCGAAAAAAACAAGATGGGGTCATCAAGTTATTCGCAAGTACCGCAAACATTTTGTAACTGTCAAGTAATTGTAATACGTTAAACACGAGAAAATCGTCGTAACACAAAGTAACTGAGATCAACACCATACAACCGATCTACCTCAGACATCGTGTAATGGTCAAAACTCAACCACCGGATAACCGTCAAAACTCAAACCTAGAGTAACCGTCAAAACTCAACCACCGGATAACCGTCAAAACTCAACCACCGTATAACCGTCAAAACTCAAACCTAGAGTAACCGTCAAAACTCAACCACCGGTTAACCGTCAAAACTCAACCACCGGATAACCGTCAAAACTCAAACCTAGAGTAACCGTCAAATCTCAACCACCGGATAACCGTCAAAACTCAACCACCGGATAACCGTCAAAACTCAAACCTAGAGTAACCGTCAAAACTCAACCACCGAATAACCGTCAAAACTCAACCACCGGTTAACCGTCAAAACTCAACCACCGGATAACCGTCAAAACTCAAACCTAGAGTAACCGTCAAAACTCAACCACCGGATAACCGTCAAAACTCAAACCTAGAGTAACCGTCAAAACTCAAACCTAGAGTAACCGTCAAAACTCAAACATAACCGTCATATATACCTCAAACACAGAGTAACAGCCGTACTCCAAACACAGAGTAACCGTCATATATACCTCAAACACAGAGTAACAGTCGTACTCCAAACACAGAGTAACCGTCATATATACCTTAAACACAGTGTAACAGCCGTACTCCAAACACAGAGTAACCGTCATATATACCTCAAACACAGAGTAACAGTCGTACTCCAAACACGGAGTAACCGTCATATATACCTTAAACACAGTGTAACAGCCGTACTCCAAACATCGAGTAACCGTCATATTATACCTCAAACACAGTGTAACAGCCGTACTCCAAACACATAGTAACCGTCATATATACCTCATACACACAGTAAC